CCAATTTTCGATTAAAAATTTCAGTTCAAGTTAAAAATTGGACAGTTTAAGAAAAATAATACGATTACAAAATATTTTAAGAACACAACCGGTTTTACACTGGGTGAATATAAAGTATTGAACCAAGCGGTTTTTTTAAATCATTTGTTTCCAAAAAATAATAATTAATATAAATTAAAGTAATATAAAAAAAATCTTTTTTTAAGAACAAAGTTTTGTTTTATTTTTGAGTTATTCGATTTTGTTGTCTAAATTGCGATATACATACGTAAAAAAATAATTTAATATAAAGTAGATAGTTGTAATCCCTTAGATCTGACCTTCATGAGAAAAAGGTTTTTTTTTTTGGTGGGTTGCCATTTAAAAAAAAATAATATTTTTGTAAAACTCAAAAACAAAAAAATTAAAATTTTGAAAAATTTTATATTTGATAAAACATCACATTTCTATAGAAGTTTACAATTCATCAATTAGTTTTTTCAAAAAATAAATACTTTAAGCAAAAAACGTGATGTGATCTGAAAAGTACAGATTTTTTAGAAAGGGTTAATTACTAGGTTATTAAAATGGTTGTCTCACGCCAAACCAATTTTGCAGTCCAAGATGACGAAAAGACAAAGTTTAGTTTATTCGAGGATAAAAATTTATCCCAACTTTGATTTTTTATTGTTAAAAATTTTGCATATCGATGCATATTTGGCATATATTGGAGCATATTTTTTAATATTTTGTGCATATTTTTGTGAAAATACGTGCGTATACAGACTGTTCTCAGTCCAAGTCGCCCCGGCCGATAACACCTAAACTTACTTTTTTTTTACATAATGCACTCAGAAAACAATTTAAATTATAGAATTTTATTAGCAAATTTTGCAACATAGGCGGATTTTACCTGTCAAGGTATTCATGCAAAAAGCAATATGCTTGGATACCGTTTAATTGTTATAGTTTGACAAACCCTAATTTGTCAATAAATCTTATTGAGATATTTAATAATAGATGATATTAATTACGACGAATTGGTAGATCAGCCTGAAGTGTTTTTTAAGTGCAATAAAAATAGAGCGGAAGCTGAAAGACAGTTTAGAGAAAAATACTCAAATAGAGTTCACCCAAATCGTTGGAAATTTAGTCGAATTGAAAAACAACAGAGACGAACAGGTTCGCTTCTTAAAACTAAAAAACCTGAGGTGAAGAACAAGAAAATACAAATCTGAATGTTCTGTTATCAGTCGAAGAAAATCCAAGAGTTTCCATAAGAGAACTCGCTCATCAACTGACAAATTAGATTTGTCAAACCAACAATTAAACTGTATCCAAGCATTTTTTTTTATTCATACCTTTCTTTTAAAATTAAAAGTCAGGCGACGCGACCAATTTCCTTCTAAAATTCTAAGATTTAAGATGTTTTCTGATTGCATTGTGTTACGCAAAATGTAATAAATAGTGGTTTACCGTATCTTTAATGTCAATTATTATTGTTTCGAAAAAAACACAGGTGTTCCATTTGAAAAACTAAATTTAGTAGCATTTCCGGCAACACCGGATATGCTAAAAAAAATTGATACATTTACTAACAAAGACAAGAATGAATATTATTACTTAAATATTTACTTTTTGAAAAAAAGAAGTAAGTTTAGGTGTTATCAGCCGGGGCGACTTGGACCGAACATCCTGTGTATGCGCATATTTTACGAATTTTTTGTGCTAATAATCCGAGCCTTACTTATAACTTATGATTATTTGTACTTCTCAAAAATTTTTGAAATTCTAAGCATTTATTAAAATTTATTGTCATATAATATTAAAACGTAAATTGGTAAATATTCATTTTTTAAATAGTGAGCTTTTGAATCTTTTGCTTGAGTATTGCGTCGTAACTAGCCTTGGAATGGGTCGTTTGTTGACATTTGGAGTTTGTCCGGAAGAGATCGTCGTCGATTGTAAGATTTGTGGACAAAAAGTCGGAGGTCCGTTGAGTCTCACCGGGACGTAATTAGGCGAACATACTGTGTGATTTGATTTGGAATCGCGACAGACGTAGAATAAAGCTGAAACGCGTGACGATGTCATAGGTCACTGCGTCGAATCTGCGCCCCCGTTCAGAATACCAAATGTTACAATCCGAACGAAACTCACCGGTGGTGGTAACTCAGCCATACCTGGCCGATTGGGACTCTAATTAGTCCTCGTTGAATTACGAACAATTCTACCGTTGACAAAGTTGATAACAAGAGATGCTCGCTAGGGACCACAAGTGTTACCACAGTTCGGCTCTACGAGCCGTGACCTATGCACTGAATTCAATTTTCTAATTCCGACTAACTGCCAAGACTTGAGGGATTTCCGGACACTTACCTGGAACAGAAACACGAACTCTCTATAACAGGGAAGTGAATAAGTCAACACATGCACGACAGCGATGACACGGCTCTTGTAACAACTTTTTTTAATTTTCTTACATCAAAATCAACTCAAAGTTATTTTTTAATGTTTAAAGTTAAGACCATATTCATACATTAGACTCATCTCCATATACTATTTAGTTAAAATATAACATATTATAGTTTCAAGTAGAAGTAGAAGAAAAAAAAAACAAATTAAAAAAAATAAGTATTTTAAATTAGTAGTTTTTTTATTTACCAACTACTAACTGTACGATTGAAATAGTACATTACAAGCGAAGTGGTAAATATGGCATTAGCCCGAGTTTGTTGCATAGCAATTTATCGAGTGACATTGTTAGAAAAACCTCGAGTCGCAGACGAGAGGTTTTTGAACAATGTCACGGCTAAAGGCAACAAAAACTCGAGTAAATCAATCGAAAAATTTTGCCAGACCAAATTTTACCACGAATGGTATTCGGAGGACTATTTCATGAATAATCAAATTAAATGAAATAACTGTCAAAATATTTAAAACGACACAAGTAACAGACTGTTACCATGAAGATAATTTATCACTTGAAAACTGGCTTGGTTTCGATTTTGTTCTTAAATATCCTTCACTCATTGGCTCTAAATATGAGGTGAAGGCGATAAAATTTTGCTTTCTTCAAATTTATCGATTGAAATTTTTTACTCATTGTTGAATGACGAGATGCTATTGCCCGAAATGTAAATGAATGAAATAGCCAGTCAAAAATTTAAGTAAAATAAAATTCTAACAAAGTTAAAGTCCAAACATGGTGAGCCATCCAAATGGCGTTTGATTTTTGACATTTCAGAAATGTCAAAGAAAATATAGAAATAATGTGTGAATCTGATTTAAAATCGTCGAAATGAAGCAGTGTAGTCCCCCAGAAGTAAGAGAAACTGCTACAAAAGCAATTGAATACTAATTTAGCAAAATACCTACAGAGTGGTTATAAATGATTTACTTGACTTCAATTATAAACTTGTTTTCTTCCAAAGTATACATTATTATCAATTGGTATTGGAAATTAGTTGAAACAATAAAAATTTAATTAACAACAATTTATTATTAATTAATAAGTGACACTAATGACAGAACTAGAGCTTTCAAAAAAGTAGAGCGGCACAAATAAAGTTACATGCAAAAAAATTCCAAAGCTGGTTAGATGAAAATCATTTATAACCAATCTGTATTATGCTTGACAATACTCCTCATGAAATTGATGTGTTTCCCAACCTTTAAAAGGTTAGTAATCGGCATATTACATTGGTGATTGTGAATAAAATCATTTTCATCTCTGAAACAAGGAAAAAATTACTTACAAAAAACATATTTTATCCACGACCATATACCAAAGTAAGTGTTTCCATACAGTGAATTACCTACCAAAGTTGACGATATCAAAGAAATCCATTATTCTCCTAACCACACGTGTGTTATGAAAATAACGTAACAGGTTGTGCGATTGGCGGAGAGCCTTAGCCGCGACTGGCAAATTGCGCGTGATTTGATGTTTGTTCGCCATGTGCATTGTTTTGACTTTTTTTTTTTTATTTTTTAGTTGTTCTTTATTTCTACTTTTATAATAATTAGTTTTTTAATTTTTTTGTGTTTATTTTTATGTTTCAGTTATAGTTTAACGCGAAACTGTTACTGTAAAGGTGAAAAAGTATGTGACATTAAATAACAAGTAAAATCAATAAGACAAACAATACAACAAAGCTCTATAAAAGGTGTATCAGAACTCGCGTCCCAGAAAAAAATTTCAAGTAAGATAAAACACCAAAAACAAGGAAACATTGTTTAAAAAATTCTGTCTATCAACAAATTTTGACATTTATTTTTTGACATATTTTTGTGTCCACTCATAATTTTGTATATGTTTTTTTACAATTATGTTGTAAAGGTACAAAAATTTTGCAAATAAAAGCCACAAGTAACTTTAAACATAGTTACAATTTAAGACACAGCTTCCTTGTTTCCTCTTCTAATAGTCTGTCGCAACAAAACTTAGAAAATTATTTTTTCAGCAGAAATAAATAGAGTCAAAGTGGAAAATTTAAACTCTCTTAACTTCGAAATTTGTATAGATAATTTTTTTTTACATTTTTCCATACTCCTGGTATCGTGCCTTATCTTTTTCTCTAGAACTCGAGTCCTGGCGCACCTGTATAACAAATTGCAAAAAGCCTACTCTTTAATCAACTCTAAAATTTCTAGGAGATTTTAGATGCAAACAGAATTCTTTTTTAGTCATTACCCCAGACCGCCTCTGCACAAGTTTTTCATTTAGCTAACATTGAAACCACATAAGAAAAAAAAATTAACTTTGTCCTCACTTGTGGCATTGTTCCGATTCATTTAATACGGAGATAAGCCAAAAGCCAACAGTCCTTTAATTCAGAAATATTAGTATCATAAAAGAACAATAAAATTTGTGAAAAATAATTAGAAAATGGGGAAATAAAGCGTCATCTGCCCTAGCTATCATAAAATATAAATTAATATGACTTAATTATTTACTTTATGATAGGGACCCCTTTAAATAGGGCCACAAGAGCAAATTATAAGCACTTGTCGTGGCAGGTTGGTCAAATTAACTTCGGGAGGTAACTCACTACGATTTGAGTAAAATTCAGTTTACATATATTTTTTTTCAGAAATGAGAGCTGTTCTAATTCTTGTGATAACTTTAACTGCAACTTTTGCGGGATATCTGCCAAATGGTTATAGAAGACCCAAAACTGACAGACAAGGTTTGCAAACAATGGCAGATTTTTTTGATCGATTGAGCATCTCAGCCAAAATTAAAAGATGTGGGAACACTTTTGACGAAAGTTGTGCCAATTTGCCCATCATAGGAGCTGCAAGTGACGAATCATGGCTGGCACATGGTTCACCAGGTAAAAGGTGTGCAAATGTATGGGGAGAGTCTTGCATAAATGATGGAATTTTTGGGGGTGGTTCTGACGAGTCATGGTAACAAGGGGATGATAACCCTGGACGCCGATAACTTTCCTGTGTATTAATATGAGCAAAATAAAATACTTCGCAAAGTACGCTTTGACATTTCTACCTGAAGTACATAAGTACACCTATAGTTATTTTTAAAAGATTAATATCTAAAAATCGAAGCTTTCATCATTTAAAATTTTTTTTGTCTTGTTAAAGTAATTATTGATAAAAAAAAATTTTTCTAAAAACTCCTTGATATTGTCAGAGGAGTTTGTTTGAACTGAGGACAATTAGCTAAAGTCAACAAGAGTATTAACTGGCGATAATTAGGAACACAAAGAAGAAGAATAAAATTATCATTATACATATAATTAGGTTAGGGCAACTTAATAAGAACTTAATAAATTTAATCTCGTAATTGAATTTAATAAATTCATTATCCTAATTTCACCTCAAGCGTGTTTGGCTTATTTTATTAATGAACTATTGTCACGTCTTCAAATAAGGTGTTAGATACATCGAGATTTCGTATTTTAATCACATCTACATCTTTCCAATTTTAGCATTTCCTTCCTTTCTTGTCATACCACCCCAACTGATTACTACGAGATGACTTCTGGAATATTTAAAATTTCTTTTTGACGTATTTAATAATTTAACATTCGACCCAAAAATAAAGAAAATGATAACATTTTGCCATGTTTTAAACAACGACTTAATTATAAGTTTCCCATTATAAAACGTAACATTAAATACGAAAAGTTAAAACATCGCCGGAAGGAGTTTTAGAAAGTTGTACGCCAAAAGAAGCGCATACATTAAAATAACTTATAAAGGATTTATTTTAACGTACAATTTACCGAGGAAAATTAAGTTAAAATGCATTCCTTATTTCCTTTTGCTCGCTCGCTTCAGATTTCGTATCTGATCTTTCGAAAATAAAAGCACTGAGTATTAACATCTGCAAAATTAGAATAACGGAGCAAATATCTATTTTTGAAACTTAAAACTCATTATACCTTGCCATTTAACAAACTAGTTTAAAAGCAAAGACAGTTTTGCTAGTTTCACAGTTACAATATCAAAATAATTTCCATTATTCCAAATATATTCAACAAGCAACTACCATGTTCTCGATTCTTTATTTGTTGAATGGCCATGATAATGTTTGAAGTTGTATCCATTTTCTCCGACAAAATATTTTTTCATGGAAAACTGGGTTCCCTGTTTTCCCTCTCAATACACGACAAGGTCTTGAATTATGTGGTCGATACTGATACAACTATAGGCTTTCACCAAAATTTGCTTGGAATATTGTGCTCAAAGTACTCCAGGCCAAAATTGAACTCACACAACGCAATAATTAATTCTTGCGGCTTTGTAGTGTTATAAAAGACAACAAGTCAAAATGTTTCCAATTAAAAGACGCAGTTAGAAATTCATTTAATAACATTTGCAAAAAAATAAATAAAATGTGCAAATTATGTTGATGAAAATACGTTTTGTTTTTTGCAATATTTACAGAAAAATATATTAAAAGAATAAAAAAAAACTTTTACATTTTACTATTACTATAAACTAGTTTTCCACACAATGCAATTTGATTTTCCGTAGCATTTCAAAAATTCATACCCTTGACTTTGATACGAATCGATAGAGATTTTATTAAGTTTATTCGGATTTCTTGAAACTCCAGCAAAAAAATTATAGAAATTTATAGATTTTTGATGATTCAATAAAATTGTATAGAAAAGTTGAAGGATTTCTTGAAGGTCCATCAAAATTGCAGGTCAACACACTTTATGATCGAGATTGCAAGCAGAAATATTTTACTAGAAAGTGTATTTATTGGTTTATTTTCACTACTGAACTATTTATTAAAAAGCATCAGGTACTCGTATGTACAGTCGAACAAAATGAAAATGACGCCTCAATAAACCAGCCCCTGCTGGATGCCGACCCTTCTAGCCGCAAGCAGGCAGGGTCGTAAATTATCGGTTTGCAAACTTGTCGTAGTTTCAAGATAAATTCCTTTAGGAGCCGGTTTACAGAAAGCGAAATGAAAATTTAATTCAGAATTAAACTAATTCGAATTACGTTGCCATTTATTTTGCATTTACACACGTCAAATTAATTAAATGGAAATATTAATTTTTTTAATAAAAAAATTAACAAACCATTGACAAAAAAACAAATCATTATCACTTAATTTTTTTAACTGTTTTTTCAAAACAAAATTAATTAACATAATGTTTGAACGAAATAGGCTTTTTCTATTTGAAACTTGATTTTATGTAAAACAACAAATGAATTAAACCATTGTTTATTTGTGAAAAGAAGGTTTAATTCCACGTGTGCCTTTACCGTGAGTTGTTTAATTCTTTGAGCATAAAGCGAAATTAAAATTTACTTCAGAATTAAACTAATTCAAATTAAGTTGTCATTTATTTTGCATTGACAAACGTCAAGTTAATCGCGAATTAAAATATAATTGCGATTAACACGTTCTGCAAACCGGCCCTAAGTTTTTTATTAGTTTTGTAATTGTCATTGAAAACAAATCAAAATTATTTATTTAATTATACCAAGAAAAAAACGGGAAAATTATTTCAAATATTTTAGTTCTGCTACAAAATTTATTTTTTGATAATTGTAATACTGTTAAATTAAATAAAAATGTTTAGTTTTATAAATACACAATTTAACAAAAGAAATTTATGCATTAATAAGATGAAATTTACAATCAACAAAAAACCAAATTATTATTAATGTAATACATTTTTTTGATAAACTGTCAGGATTGCCAACATATTCAGTCATTGTGGATCACTTTGTATTTTAATTGATTGATTTATAAAATAACTTCTGTAAACCAGCTCCTAAAGGAATTTATCTTGAAACTACGTCAAGTTTGCAATCCGATAATTTACGACCCTGCCTGCTTGCGATTAGAAGGGTCGGCATCCAGCAGGGGTTGGTTTATCGAGGCGTCATTTTCATTTTGTTCAATTGTACCTACATTTCAATCTTCTCCAAGGGTTACTCGTAAATTTAAAATAATCTTAATTATTTAAACAATTTTGAATTAAAAGTTTAAAGCAAAAATTAAAATGAGATTGTATTAAAAGAAAATTGTTTACAACAACAATAAAATGTATAGAACGACAAAATACAGATTATAGCTGTCATGAATTTCTATTTTATGTATGATTTTTTATCATACAAAAGACCTATTCTGTATGTTCTGTATATTTTTTGTAGTGTAAAAAAGACAGATTCTTGTCATTCAACGATAGTCTCAGTAGGGTGTCTACAATTTAAAAGCAACGAAATAAAACATTGCTTTATTTATCTAATAAATGAAGATGGTAACAAGACAAACAGAAAAATTACAGGTTGATAGAACATTACATTTTTCACAGTAAGAAATTAAGATATACATAGCAAAAATTTTCGTAATAAATCAGTCATTATAGGTATAAACATGAGTAGAATACTATGCTTTATGTAGACTATAAAATATTTTCGATTTTAGGTATTGACAAAGTTAACGTTTATAAGTTGACGTTTTAGTTTAATTAATTGCGTTCAAACAGTAGGTCACACAGGAAAGAGTCGTGGAATATAAATTTATGTTTCACGCAGTGTAATAAGCACTAAATTATGTCTTTACAATAACATTGTTATTTAACTGTCCTACAAAAAAATATTTTTTCTTAAATACACATAGTAAAACAATAACTTATTTAGATTTTTTTAGCAGGTGAGACTAGTTTAATAACAACTATGTGTTATCAAAAATACGAGTACAACATCTTTTTCACAACTGTCTAAGTGACGAAACAAGCTTTTGTGATGAAAGCTTCAAAGTATTTTTCTCCAACGACAAAAAAAAACAGTGGGTGAAATAAAAAACAAAGAAATAAATATTCTCACAAAATTTGTTTTTTATTAAAAATAATTGAGACCTTTCAAAAAATAATATTTCATTTATTATTTGCACGCTTTATAAAAGCTCAGTGAATTACATAAAAGCTTACCCTCGTAAATTCTATTTCAAAAATATGTTTTCCTCTCTTATTAAAAATAGAATAAAGAATAAGGGTTAAAAAAGCAGAAACATGGTAACAATTCTATTCATTCATCCAAATATAACAGTACTTACAATTGAATTGAATTTTATTTGAATGTGCTTTTTTGGATAAATAATTCAAAATTTCTAAACCCAATCGCACGCGTAGGCCCCGGAACTAGATCTCGGTTTGCCAAACCGTCGCAATTACAGGTTAAACGCTCCTAATCGACATGTAATCCGTAACGTATATGTATTGCATATACGTTTGCGGCACTTGTCCTGTAATTTTCTCGTTTCGCAATTGTACGAATTCGCTCCGCGCGTGCCTGCGATGGGACAAGCTGTGGCAGGGCTCTCTTCCTGCGAGAATTCGAGTCGAGGACTCTCCAGTCCATGCTTGTAATTGCCATGTCATTATGTTAACATTGTGTTCATCTCCGACCGGCCGTATTGTGCGAAACGTCACAGCGGATATGAATACAAGCCGAAACATCCACCAGTAATGCGATTTCCTCGTCCAATATTCCACCGACTTTTATCGCTCGAATTCAAACGGACGTTATTAAATTATTACTTGTCAAATGTGGCCTCCACACGTATCGATGCTTTCATTATTTTCGCTCGGCGCACGTGCATCCATGCACATAATCGCTGTGTACGCCAGAAAATAATCGCGAAATTTCGATTAAACTAGAAGCTGATTATTCGGCTGCTCCAAGATTAAACCCGGCCAGCACTTAGTTTAATTAAAATTGTCTATTTTAATTTCCAGTGCAGATCGTATCAAAAGCACGAGAATTTTACTTTTTTATCATAAAAACTCCTAAAACAAACAATTATAAACAATCTTTTTTATTTCATGGTCAAAGAAATGATACAAAAGTCTGTAAATGTGAAAGTGTTGCTTCCATTTTTGTATATTTTAAAATCCATTACCGTTAAAGGAAACCTTTTAGTGGATGCGAAACGAGTATAAAATTCTGCACTGTTTTGCCAATTGTATCGAACCATGCAACGGAAT